CCTTGCTCCATGTAATGCTGATGTCCATTCCATCAATGAACACATCTTAGGCAAATTTCCTGGGGAGGAGATGATTTATGACTCTGCTGATTCTGCTGTGGACGAAGAGGGTGCTGACCATCCTGATCCCATTCCAGTGGAGTGCCTCAACTCCATCAATGCATCAGGTGTTCCTATTTCAAAATTGGCCCTGAAAGTTGGATCCCCAATTCTTCTCCTCTGAAACCTGTCAGTGCAGGATGGACTTTACAATGGAACTTGCCTTCGTGTTGAGCATCTGGGAAGGAGAGTGATTCAAGCCCATGTCCTTGGAGGTTTTCATCATGGGAAAGTTGCTTTTATCCCAATGACCCTCACACCATTAGACTTAGGGGAGTTGAACTTTATCCTCAAACAGCAGCAGTTTCCAGTTGCATTGGCCTTTGCTATGACTGTGAATAAGGCACAGGGACAATCTGTGAAGCATGTGGGTGTCATATCCCAGAATCCCGACCCTGCGCTCTCCCACCACATCACACCTTCCTAACAACTTCATCATCCCCTACACCATAACTCCCCACTTCCCAAGTCACCTTCCCTCCAAACTGTCTCAGCTCCAGCGTGGTTGCAGCACACCTTACCTTGGCCACTCCCATCCCGGAAGTTTGGTCCTGGGTTGGAACATTTGGAGACTCTGGATTTGCTCCGACCTCCTGACAGTTCTCCGACATCCCATGACTTACCTCTAAACCATTCCCCCTCCCATTTCATTTATTGGAGTCACCCAACATCCCTCGGATACGTAACTCCACCTTCAGAGCTACCCGCATCCTCCAGTGATCCCACTCATGTCATCACTAATTAGTCACCTTCCTTTTATAGCATGACTGTTGTCTTCTTTTCATTCAGTCGGCTAACCTCCTCTTACCCATTTCTCGTTCCCATTCATCTTCCGGCCTCTTACTCCGCCCTTCTCGACCCGACACCTCGGTTTCCTGTTAAGGATATCGTTTGGGACCTTTCGGTACCTTCCGGTATCATTCGGCACCTTTCAGTGTTTTCCATTATCACTCAGACTTTGACTAAAGTCCTTCCCATTCCTCCATATATAAATACTTGTAGATTAGAACCTGTAGTTCCCCAGTTCTAATCTTGACTAAAATGTTACCCCAAGTCCCTCTGAGTGAATCCCGACCCCTTTTGACAAGATACCTCAAACACATGAAATACAAGGACTAACTGAGATGCAACAGAGGCACAGCACTCCCTCTGAGTTGCTGAGGCCGCATCCTTCTTAGAGCCTCTTGTACCACCCAGCAGACCTGGGCTTCCTGGAGAAGCTTTGGTCCACTACCGGAGCTCTCGGATCCCCTCTAGTTGAGCCCCGCCTGCATTCGGACTCACGCATTTTCCCCTATATTTGGGGTTTTTGACAGTGGGGCTTGATTCGCGTGCACCATGCTTCAGTCATGGACAACTTTATGTTGCACTGTCAAGGGTTACTTCTCCTCAAAACATTAAAGTCATTTTCCCTCCTGGACACCATGACTCTTTGACATCAAATGTAGTGTATCATGATGTTCTGATTGATTGATATATATCCCATTGCCTCTTTACTTGCACAAGGAGGACAATATAACAAGAATAGGCTTTTCTCATTTCTGTGCATTGTCATATCCATCCACGGCCTTCCACTGCCTCCGATCTCTCCAGACTACCTCTGCTCCTTCTTCACTAACCTCGGAGCTCCCATATTCCACAATCACCTTGGTATCCCTCGATGGTCACCACCCCCTCTTTTCAATTTATTACCTACACCTCCCTAAGTATGGAGCCCCAAAGGCTTCCGGACAGCTCCGACGTCCGCCAGTGCACTCCTGCCTCCACTGGGCAATACACTCGCTTGCCCTGCAAGCCCACCTTTGGGCCTATCCCTCCTTTCCGTTTCTGGGTTATTGCCTACCATTCTGTTAACCCTGTAACCTGACTTGTCAGTAATATTCAATTGGCTAATGTCTAACCCCATTAGCTCTGCTCCACTCGGCTCTGCCATTTGCAGGCCTGCCCTCGTTGTAACTATATATACTCAACTTGTACATAGGTTACACCTCAGTAATAAAATCGACTAGAGTTTACCCCCCTTCAGTTCTGGTTGCCAGTTTAGTAAGTTAGGGCACAGACGTGTTACTTAGCACAGCGCTGAGGCTGAAGCCCTCTGCCACAGAGACATTCCTTTGTCTTGACCTGGTCTCTGACAGTGTCCCTCGGCATCCTGTGCCCAAAACATGAACTCAACCTCTTCCATGAAGTGTTGTCAAACGTGTGTCCCTTCTTTCCACTTGTGCCGTCCACACTGAGTGCCGTTAGTTCACTGTACCGGGTCACTTGGCAACACTCCCAATGGCAGTCAGGGAGCTGGCTGGTGGCTCCCTGACAGCCGATCAGTGGCTGCTGATGGCAACGATTTTTGGGCCCGTCACTGTATGTTAATTGGGTTGGGCCGGTATTAAGACAGACTAAACTCTCTTTGTTAGATACCAATCATTTGGGAGGCATATCTACCATCAGATGCTGTCCATGCACAGGAAGAGCGGGAGAAGATGATACAGGAACGTATACGAAAAAAGGAACAGGAGAAGAAAGAGGCAAAGGAGCGATGTGGACAAGAGAAGCTGGCTTCGGGTATTAATCAATCAGTACATCGATCAACATTCCTACTGCTACACTGTCTTGGGATGCTCTTAAACTCAGATCCTCACAGGCCCCCATGGATGACAACGCTTCAAGGGCCATGAGGCTCCGAGACCACCACCACCACCACCAAAGAAGAGGAAACCGACGAAGAAGAGAATGACTACTGGTGGCAGTCCCAATCTCGACGAGATGGCTAAGCTTCACCCAGATGAGCCCATGAATTTTTTCCACCTCACAATGGTGCTTAAGTGTTGGCTATCCCGTACGATAACTGAAGAGCAGATTGCGATGGGTGAGGGACATATGCTACAGTATCTCAAGGGCGTGTTTGAGGTGGGTTTGCATTAAAGTTTGATCTCTCCACTGACCTGCTGCCATCAGATTTTTGGCCCCGACATGATCAAACTGTCAGGGACGCGTCCGGGGTCGAGAAGGCCTGGGGGTAATGTCTGGCACTGAGGCCGTCGCAGGGTGTGGAGCGGGCGTGCATACTGGCGGGCCCGATCCGGGACAGTGGTCCCTGGCCACTCAGGCTGAAGTGGAGAATGTGTTATTATTATTAAAGGGGAAAACTATACTACTTACCTGAAGTGGAGAATGTGAGAAGAAGGTTACTTCTTCGGTTCCCACTTCAGGTACATTTATGTACATGTGGCTTGAGTCACATGACGAGTGCCATGTCATCCTCGGAGGCAGCCGCAGGCATCCGGGTGTCCCCGTGGGGGATCCCGAGAGCGTCCGCTGCATGCATGCGTGCTGGGCACAGTGGGAAGCCGTCCGGGGTGTGTGGGCCAGACGGGTCAATAGTACATCGATACAAAGGAAGGTGGTCTGTGTAGATAGAAAGAAATAAACAGGAAGAGGAAGATGAGAAGAAAGAAATAAAGAAAGGGGAAGGAGAGGGAGGAAGGAGGGGGGAGGGGGATAGACAGTGGGGAGCGGGTGTGGTGTGGCCGGGTGGGTCCGGGTGGACCCGGGTCAGGTGGGTGTGCCCTGACACAAACCCAATCACAGTCCATACTGCTGAATTCATCCAGGACTTTGGCCCCATCTATGGCTTCTGGACATTCTTATTTGAGCATCTGAACAAGGTCCTCAAAAGCTACAAATCCAATAATCATGGTGGTGGGCAAATTGAGGCATCCTTTTTCCACGAATTCCACTGTACCATTCGCATCTCTCAAATTGTGCATGGTTAATTACATTTTGATGGTCCCCCTTCTTGATTCACCTTAGTACAGATTAGCCAGGCATTGTTGACTTCCAATCCGCTGGACAAGGCAGCAGCCTCTTGCCTGATAAATGCTATGACAGATGAACGGGGTACAGTCCAAGCTCTGGCACAAGAGCTTGATATGGGCCTTGCAGATGGTACGCCCTCTCATTGTATATAATTCAGAATTCTAAGCGTGCACTCTCAGAAACATTCCCCCTCAACCAGATCAGCTTAGGCCCAGCACCGCAGAAGAAGTACGATCTGACGCTCGCTGATTCCATTGTAATAATAGGTCATCTGCAATGTCGCCATCCAGGCCTTAGGCTGCATCAATACACCGCTGTCAACCCTCACCCAGACAGCATACCACTACCCACGTCCTGCTGGATGCACCACTATGTTGTCATCAAATCCCGCCAATATCTTGCATCAGACATGGCTGCCAACCCCTGAAGCTCATTGGTTGAAGTGGATGTATGTGGGACACAATGTTGTGGTGAACTCACACATATCCTCTCATTCGACAAGAATCTTGGTATGGGAGCAATGCGAATGGCGTTTGGCATGGTCAAATGGTTTCACCCTTACATGCCAAAACACGACACAGTGTGGGCCCCTTTGTAAGAGCATTGCCATACTTATGGTCGATACACTGATGTGCAGTACATGCTTCTGGACAGTGCCCAAGACTCTCACATCCGGGTTTGGGAAGCTGACAAATGGTGGAATAACGGAAGTGTTTCCATCATTGCTCTGGATTCCATTCGGAGTCATCTTGCAAGGCTCGCGATGGCAGTTCAAGGCACATGGGTATGGGTAACTCTTACTATTGATGCTGTATGTATTCGATCATCATTCTTGATGACCCCCACTGAGATTCTTACAACATGGCAGAATGGAGACAGGATCTAACTTTGATGTTGAGAGAATCCCCTTGCTGTAATATCTAGGACACTCTCTGTGTATCCAAATGTACAAACATCCTAACCCAAAATAATAAATATTATTATCTCATGGTCGTACATATTATGTTATTTTGTTTAGCATTGTTGGTGCATGTTTACTTTGTTCCAATCACGCAACTGGATGTTGGACCTTTGCTAGCTAGATCTCAGGCATCCCCTGTGTTGTCAGCCTCATTATCCTCGCCTTCATTATCCACCCCTTCATCTTCGTTGTCACCCTCATATGCTATAGATTCTGCTTCAAACCTTCTGAGTGCTGCAAGATCCTCAGCCATTATCATCTCATCAGTTATCGCAATATTCGTTATCCATTCTGGGTCCTCCGTGATCTTCATATGAGCCAACTGCTCTGCAGAGAGGTTTTGGGATACCAATGAATGGAAGACCGCGAACTTAGGGAGCTGGCAGGACATTGCCTCAGAGGAATGACTTGCAGGCTTATATGTATTTTGAGGCGCAGGCCTCTCGCCAGGAGCTTTGGCATCTATGTCGTCCTGGCGGCATTTGTCCAATGCATAGTAATACCTCACGACCTACAAAGTCTCATTAGCCTGGTGGACGTGTGCAGGCCAACTTGTTGACCACCTACCATTGGTGACCTCCAGCACTTCTGTCTGCGCACCAGTGCTCCTGTGTTATCGCCACAGTCTGTCGACATGTAGTCAGTTAGTACAAGAGACTTCATCTGCGACTCCATGACATTAGTCAACTTGACCAATAGCTTGGTTATTGCATTACGTCGCCTGGTGGCTTTCTGGTAACAGGGACGGTTTGATCATGGCTCAGACTACTTTTAAGAGGCGGGCTTACCGATTTCTTATGGCCCCAGCGATTCTTCCTCTCTCTTGATGACACAAGCTGGTTTCAACCATCAGCCTTTTGCAGCATCGTCCAGACATCTTGCAGGTGCTTGAAGTACTGGACGAGTCCCTTGTGGATTGTTTGATCATCAAGGGTCTTCTCTTCTATGTGGCATGTAAATTTCTGGGAAGCAGACTTGCACCTGAACTTTCACATGTTGCTTGGGATGGAGGCCCACATACTGGGCTGTCCAAACAGAGCCTGAGAGCCTCATTGATTGCAGGCTCGTTCAGTTCATGATTTGCGTGTTTTCGCCAATCTGGCCAGAAGAGAGGAGTCCCATCGGCTCTCTTCAGCAGGGATTCCCCTGGCTTCAGGGGGTCAGGGATCTGTTCCCCTTCTATTGTCATTCCGGGAGTCTTTGACATGATCCCCAGTATGTGGTGAAAAGTCTGCTGCATCAACTCCTAAAAGCATCATCATCAGCCCCATCTATCACTAGTAGTACTAGCACATAGTCAATACTTACCTGGAGCTTTTCCGGCCAAATCGTGGCATCCCCACCTCACTTGGTTTTCTTTGCTGGAGTTCATCTCATCCCTCAATGATCGTAACTCTAGAGCCAATGGCTGAATTGCTTCAGTCAAGTTTGCTCTCATACTTGCCTCCGCACTAGCCAGCAGCTTCGGGCGCTGACTGACATCCATATGGTAGTTTGGAGGTCATGGATTGGAGTTCATGTGGACAGATCCTGGTAAGCTGATTGCTTGATTTAAATTACTGCACTCCGTTACTTTGAAATAAACCCTCACCCAGCAAGCGAGAGTACTGGGGGCTGTGGCCCACAACCACTGGACTCCTCATCATTCCAGTATTCCAGTCATTAGGCAGTGACCTTAAGGGAGATGGGCCTAGTGCGTTGGGTAGGTCAGTACTCTCATTAATATATTAACACCTTACTGGACATCTTGACATACCTGTTTGTCTATAGTACTCTTGGGTTCCAGTACTCCAATACCCGAAGTCATCGGCATTACTAGTGCTGGGGATGGGAGGGGATCGAAATGATGTGAAGCTGCCATCGCTAGTCCCCATATTGTCATCGTCAGCAGGTTGGGAGTCATGCTGGTATTTGTCAGATGGGCCCTGGTACATCACTCCAACTTCTGGGTAGTGCTATAGGGAGAATGATGGGAGGGATAGAGGTAGAAAGAGGGACATCTGTCTTTAATCGTTTATTATCCTCTATGTACATCGAGAGATGAATGAGCGATATTGATCAGTATATGTCATCATGGTTTCCTCTGTCGGAAATGGTGCTTTCCAGATATGGATTTGATTGGGAATCAATATGGAAGATTATCAGCCACCACCAAATCCCCATCATTTCCCAGCCCCAACCATGGTAAAGTGATGCTCAATCTGCCAGCAGACAGAACCAATATCCACTGTGGGAAATTGCATGGAAATCCGGTTATCCCTGCCATTTCCACAGTGGAAATTTTTGGCTCAAATGCAGTGAGTGTTACCAAATGTAGGTGCAGCGCTCCTCTCCAAGTCACTGAGACCATGGTCCTCCCACTGGTTCTCTACCTCCGGCCTCCCTTCTCAGGAAAGGTCCAGGAACACTGCCCCTCCTTGCCGTGTCCCTGACACCAAGGGTATGTAGCCCAATCAATATATAGACCAATTTTAGGGATATAAATGCAGTTAATCTGAAATTACTTAGGGAAAATGCAGGAAAATGAGTGGGAAAATGAGGGGAAAATTGAGGGGGGGGGATGAGAGAGAAAATGAGGGGGGAAATGGGGAAATTTGGAGGGGGGGATGAGGGGGGAATGAGGGGAAAATTGAAGGGGGGGATGGGGGGGAATTGTGGAGGGAATTGGGAGGGGGATGAAGGGGAAAATGAGAATGAGAGGAAAATGAGGGGGAACTGGGGGGTTTCTAAAAACTTGAAAAAAAGTCAGGGGAAATTAAGGAAAATTCAGAAAATGGGGGACTTTCTAAAAAAGGAGAATGTCCAAAAAATCAGGGGAAATTGGGGGGAAAATCAGAAATTTTGGGATGAGTTAGGGAGAGATATTTCAGGAAATTAGGAATAATTGGAAAAAAAATTAAATCACTTTTTTGCTAATTCAATGTGCATTGGAAAGTGCCAAAGTGGGGCAATGTAGCAATGTATGTTTCAGCCCTAGAAAAGTCTCCCACCACGTTTTGGTGAGCCTAATAACCATGGCTTTTTGACCATGGGAAATTTGGTGTCAAAGGTTTGGATGATATCTGAAGAATACATCAGCTTTTTGTTTGCTTTATTGGGTGATATTTTTAATTTACTTCATTTGGAACACTTTTTTAAAACTGATTTATACCCTACATAACATGCATGGTTACATTGCCACACTTTGGTGCTTTCCAGTTCACATAGAATCATCAAAATTGGTTGAGTTGTGAGCAAGAAATGAGATGAAAGATAAAGTGAAAAATTTTGAATTTCAGAGTTTTCCTCATATTTTGTAAATAGCAATAAACAAATAAGGTGATGATTTTAGTAAACACAAAAGGCATATGAGCCTCATAGAGCTTTCAGAGCAATGACAATGGCCATTTTACACATGTTGTTCCACTTGATGAAGGTCAAGTCCTTGGTGGCCTTGACAGACGGTCAGGCCACCCCAAACACCTCAGGGTCTTGATTGTGATTTCAAGAAGGACCTGGTGAAATTCCCTGACTGGATGTTGAAGGAGGACTCATTGGATGATGCTGTCAAGAATGAATTTACCAAGCGACTCAAGCAGCAGGCACAAGGTGCCCAAGTGCCTCCTTCATCCATGAAGGGTAAGTGACGAGCAGAGCCCTCCAATGTCTCTCCCAAAACCAGTAAGCATTATTCTCCCTTTGACTTTCAACATCATTATCCATATCTCCCTTCTAGACTGCTCCTCTAAGAAGAGCCACCTACACAAGGAAAATCAAGAGGATAATGAAGATGATTTCATGTTCGACAATCCACACACCGTTGATGATGATCCTGAGGATGCAAGCCACATCGAAGAGTCTACCCCCCACTCTGAAGACTCACATGAGCTGGTACCTGAGACACCCATTCAGTATGTCAGCATCCATTGTTTCTCCTCCAATACACTGATTGCAGTCATATCATAGTCGATCGCAACGTCATCATCATCATGATGAATCGGATTCGCCTCCTTATGTTCCCCCAACACAGATTAGTTGTGGGCATGTTGGGAAGCGCCTTGAGGATAATGAGGATGAAGGGGAGGGGAGGGATGAGGATGAAGAGGAGGTGAAGGATGACAAGGATGATGAAGGTAGGGATGAATCAGCTGAGATCAATAAGAATGAGGAGTGTGATGAACAGCAGGTGGATGAACCATGATCAGAAAAGGAGGTAGAGAGCAGTCCTCCTATTTCTCCACCCCAGCCCTCCAGGCCTCCAAAATGCCAAACCAGGATGATGGTCAAGCTGAAAGAGGCTGGTGGCTCCAAGCCTTCTGTGCGTGTCTCCTCCAATGCCACCCTTGGGGCCAAAGCACAGCCATCAAAGGGAAAGATGGCTATCAAGGTCTTGATCCTGCATCTGCAATGTAGTGGCTCTTTCTATTAGTAATTGTGCTAATCATGGGATAACTATCATACATGAGTTATTAGTAAGAATCATAACAACTAGTCAAAGTATGGATCTTGCCTCAGCTTCATGTTACAGCACTTTTGAGGGAATTTGTCCAATAAAAAGTGAAATGGGTATCAATCAATATGTTGTGCAGAGAATCACCTCAGAAATTGGCCACACATATATCCATATTATTATCTTTGCATTACTGGTGCCAAAATAACCAAGCAGATTGCATGGAGATATGAAGACCATCCATTATTTAAAAACAAAAAGTAATGATGCTGGCCATTTAATATGCATTTCCAAAAATGTATATACATATTATCTTTGCACTTCCGCATCCAAAATCATTCAAACATTTAATTTTCTCCACCCAATGTGTAGAGGGTGCACAGCAAAAAGACTCAATTTCCTCACAGAGCTCACAGAGCTCTGAGAGCTCCCTACCAAGTTTGCTGATGAAGGGGATTCATCATTACAAAAGATGCCAACTACCTCCACCAAATCTGTTACCTCAAAGCAGCATTCTGCATGCTCATGCTGCTTGCTGGCCACATGCAGATGATACATCATCTACCCATGATTCCAGCAAACCAATGCTCATTGATGAAGACACAGTTGATCTGTCTAAGATGATGCCTGGATTTTTAGGCACTGATCCCTTCAACTTGACCTGGGGGAAGAGCAAAGCATTACCAACAGATTGATCAAGTATGTGATGGTTGCAGTGACATATAACTCTGGTGGTGATCCAGCTGAAGCCCTTCAGCTTCACCTTGATAATGATAATCCCTTTGGTGTATACATCCTTGTGACTGGTTGGGCATTGGAGCCTGCACCAGGGAACAAGAGCACAGCCCACAATTCCTGCAGCCTTCATGTGGCTGCAGTTGGCAAGCATGGTAGCATCTAAGTACCCCACAGAGCTACTGAATGGCACTGGGTGGACCTTCTTCAGACACATGATTCAGAACAACTTGTCTGGGGCTTTGCATTCCTCAAAGCACCCCTACACTTTAATTGACAGTGTCAAGGAGACACTACCTACATCCCTATTGACAAATACTTGGCTTGTGATCTGATCACCAGCACACCCTTTCTACTTCATGGTGATCACAAGGCAATTGGGGCAATCCTCAGGGAGATCATTTCCCTCCCCATGATTCATGGGCCCAAAATAACCATCAATCCCCTGTGAACAAGGAGGTTCTAGACATTCTAGACCCATTAAACAAAGTAAGTGATGATCATTGAAACATTGATGTACATATGTTTAACACTTTGTGGCTCAGCAACTTCAGTTTTGCTTGTTTACCTCACAATTGCAGAATGCTGGCTACAAAGGAACTGTTTATACCTCTGACATCACTTCCCTGGATGCCTGGACAGGTAATGTCAAAAAGCTGAAAATTGTTCAAGGGGTAAGCAACTGCCATCAAACATCCAGGATTGGTGTTAGATTGGGCAGATTCAGACAATTCCAGAATGGAATCGGAGACTTAGGGTGGAAGGACCTTGGCCTCAGCGACTCATGCGGAGCACTGTGCCATTGCTGGTTGTCCTAGGGGTCCCTAATTTTGGATCTAGCAGAGGGGAAGTCTCTTGGGGGGAAATCAAGTCGATTTTGGACTGAGGTTACAAGTTACTATGTACATTGTATGTAAGGAGGGGTCCGGAATCAAAAGGGACAAGGGTAGGATGAAAGGAGACAAAGGGAGCTGGAAGGAGGAACAACACTGAGGGTCAAGGGTTTGACTCAATGGTGTTTCCCAAAGGAGGAGTGAAGGGCCAAGGCCCAAGGAGGAAGGAAGGAGGATGGGAGTGGGGAATGGCCAGCTGACTGAATAGAAAGGAAGCAGCAGCCCAAATAGGAATGAGGGAGAATAGCAGAATTGAATAGGACAATGCAATAGTTGCAAGGTCCGAGGTAAGTCTGGAAAGTCCGAACTCGGAAGTTAAACTCCGGAATATTGGCAAAGGTAATTCAATTAAATGGAATGAGCTAACCAATACAATGGGTATAAGTGGAGGTGGGGTCAAAGTCCGAGGTCGGAGCTAAGGCTGGAGGTTCCAGAGACAGAGATGCAAATGGGATTCTGGAGTGGAGGTCCAGAGTTGGGAGCATAGGTGTTGCATGCTTGTCTGGGAGGTGTCGAGGTTGAGGTCGGACCTGGACTGTTCTGGAGTTGGACCAAAGGTGGTGTCAGAGCTGGAGGTGGGATAACCTCTTGGGAGTAGGCAAGGAGAAGGTGATGGAAGGGAAGTAGGGCTCCAGAGTCAGTTTTGGAGTTCTGGGAGCCCGGAGTGGAGGTTGGGATTGTATGGATATGACAATTGGTTTCTGATGGCACTCTGTTTTTCCTATATGTATATAAGGACTGGGACCACAGGAAGGATCCTGCCAAATTCCTGCATTGGATTGTGAAGGAGGACTGCCTGGATGAGACAGTGAGGTCCAAATCCTGAAGCAACTTAACATTGCAGCAAAGGTTGAGCAGCAGCAAGAAGCTGGCCCTTCATTTAGAACATGTCAAAACAAGCACATGTGCTGGGCATCTGAGCATGGCAACATGCCAAGCAGGAGGTTGGGTGGAGCTAGGGGCTGTCCAGGTCATCAGATCTGGGGGCTGGAGATAAGCTGGAGAGGTGGGGTGGAGCTCCAGAGGTGACAAGAGTGGAAGGAACTTGGCTTCAGCAACTTGGAGGGAGCACTGCACCTGTTATGTCCTCAGTGTCCCCAATTTACAAGGGGCTGGTGATGAAGGAACAGGGTTGTGCACCAGGGAGGGTCAGTCTTACTACTGGATGGTAAATGTAATTGGAATGTGTAATCTGGTGAGGCCAGGTTTCTTTTGTAACCCATGAAGGTTGAGAGCCATCTCAGGTGTGAGACAACAAGGACCTGAGTGTTGGTAGACATCCAGGCCTATCCACTTTGCAGATGGGGTGTGAATTGGGTGAGCATTCTTACCCCCAAGGCATAGACATGGGTCAGGGATGGTAAGGTTGAACTGTAACCCCCTGAGATTCTCAATGGTTGGTTTTGCAGACTCAGTAGATGCCATGGCTTGGTTGATCACAAGATCAGTTGAGGGTGAAGATGGCAGCAAAATGCAGTGCCCAAACAGCCAATTATATAACAAGAGACTCCAATAGATTGGGAATACCTGATCAAGAATATTCATTAGTCAGATGGGTGATATGATACTGATTTGTATTTGATATGTTATTTGTGTGATTGATTGACACCCCCTCATGTTTACTATATATCTTTTGCACACATGAATGGCCTACTACAGACAACCAAAAGATTGGTTGGTCCATAATTAAATTCTATGGTGATGTTGTACCTTTTTTCAGAATGATGATAAGGGCAAAGACATAACTGGAGTCAATCATTATTGCAATGTCCAACTTGTTGGTCCACATAATCATCCCCAGGTTGCAACCTCTTGAATAATAAAGGTTGAAATGTCAGGGTACTGTCATATCCCAGACTTTTTACCCCTATCTGTCCTAGTTCCATACAACTCATGTTACCTCCACCAATCACCAAAACCACCTCGGCCCTTCCTGGCTGATGTCTATGCACCCAAGATTCCTTCCTGCTCCAACTCTGTCCCACCTCAGATACCCCCCTGGTCTGCACCTCCTATGGACCCCCATCATTGGTTTGGTAAATGGAGGTACTATCAAACAGTGTAATCCACTTCATGAACCTTTATGCTTATATACAATATTTATATTGAAAGCATTAATTTTCAACCTGAAAAGTTGATTTCTTTTGGCAAGCGTGAACCTTCATGAAAGCTCATGACTGCTGACTTCATGAAGAGTCATGAAGCCATGCATCATGAATCTTCATGACTCTTCACAGGGATTCATGTGTGCCCAAAAATTCCCATAACTGCACATGAATGCTCATGACCTTTCATGGAGAGTCATGACTGAGTGGCGCATGACTTGAGTGCACAAGGTGCAACCTGTCAGAGACCAGGTTTGGGATGAATGAAGACATCCCTGTAATCAGAGGGCTATGGCCTCAGCGACTCTACCAGGGTGCTGTGCCCAGTATCATGTTGGTGCCCTAATTTGCAGACTGAGGGAACTTCTAGAAGAGGGGGATCAACTCTGGTCAATATTTTCACTGAGGTGTACCATAACTACAAGTTATGTATATATATGGTCACAGAGGGAGTCTAGGTGGTGGGCCCATAAATGGCAAGGGCTGGACAGGGATGGCTAATGGGGTCAAGGGTTAGCAGGTTATAACCCAGAAGGGATCAGTCCAAAGCTGGACTTCCAGGGTAGTGCCAGGGTCGTGCATGCTCGCAACAAGAGAAGTCCCCAAAACCTAGTTGATAGCAAAGCTGGGGGACATGCCCGTGCCAGCACATAGTCTTATATACACAGTAGAGGTGGTAACTAGCCAACTAACTAATAACCAGTAGTATCAGATCAAGGAAGATAGAAGATCATGTGGTGTCATAACCGACAGCTGCAGACCAGATCAAACTGGAGATGAAGAAGTGGAAAAGAAGCCGAAGTTGATGGGATCATGGGTCATGTGGCAATGCACTGTAAGAAACCACCTCCGCCTAATGCGGGCATTTAGTGTAATGGTAACACACTCTTGGTACCTATGCAGGGTTCTGCGGTTTGACTCCCAGAATGTCCATATTTTAGCATTTAGGTTCCCAAGACCACGTGTACAAATTCCAACATGCACTACTTATGCTAGTGACCCGAAGGCATGCCCTGACAGGTAGGCAACTAAATGACCCAGCAGAGGTGGGGGTGCACTTGCAGACATCAGAGCTGTCCAGAGACCTTCAGAGTTCTGTACATAGGTAATATATTGAAATGAGGGGGTGGTGACCATCGGCGGAGCCAGAGGGCATTGTGGAATATGGAGGCTCTGAGGTTCGAGATGAAGGAGTGGAGGCAATTTGGGATGGCTGGAGGTGGCGGAAGGTGGTGACTGTGGATGGATATGACACAAGTGGATCAAACCATCCAAATTTGAGTACAAGCCTGATGTGTACAAGGGCTCTAGTACAGTGAGTGGAAATAATCTGGCTCTGGTGATGCAGACCCTGATTGTGTTTCAGTTGCAATCTGACCACTCAGCACCCCTCCCAAAGTTCCTTTGGAATCACAAGGATTTTGATTTTATTGCTCCAGTGAGTGCATATGAGTTCTCCCAATAATAATTATCATCACACTCAGCAACTCCTTAACCTGACAATAAGGGTGGTGACAGTGCAGGTGGTGAGAGTAGCAATGGGGGTGGTGGTGGTGGTGGTGAGAGTGACAACAAGAGCAGTGAGAGTGACAACAAGGGTTGCAAGAGTGCTCCAAATAAGGGGAAGCAACATATGGTTCAGGAAAGGAATGACAGTCAGGGTGGGGGTGTTGGCCCTTCTTATCTAAAGGTGTGTAATCCATATTTGGGTATCTGATTTCCCAAAACAACTATTGCTTTCTTAGTCACAGCCTGCTCCCCAAGGTGATGAGGATGAATCATCACTCTCAGATGGTGAGGACTGGCTACTCTCCCACAAGCACCCTTGTGAACCTTACCTACCTCTCCAACGCATGTCCCAGCTAACAGGCCTGAGCTGCTGACACCCTTGCAGTCCCTTTGTGACAGAGTAATTGGCTTCAAAACTGCTCCACCACCCCTGTGGCCTCCCAATCCACAAACCCCAAGGTAGGAACAGGCAATCTCGTTGCTAACCTAGTGGGCTCAAGAAGCTGGCACATTGAGCATTTCCTCCATCATTGGTCTGATGTTGGGTGCTTTATATATTGAAGGAATGGCAGGATGTGTGCCTTAACAGCCTTCCTGGTGAACTACATTCTTCACTCTCTTTCAATATTTCATCCATTGTAAAATACATTGAGCACATTCTGCTGCTGAGATATGAATGCCTGCTGTGCAGGTTTTGGCATCCAAGGTCTGTTATAGCTGTTAGATGAATGCACCATGTAGATATACAGCTCCTCAGACATAAATTTCCAGCATTTTTCATCCCAAAAGCTCTACACTGTATGAGGGATATTATTCTAAGAATGTACAACTACAACAAGGATAGACAGCAAACAAGAAGGAAAGTTGGAAGGGAACGTCCATCCACAAACAAAATGTCTTGATCTGCTTGATACATCTCCATGGCCACTTGGAGTTCTTCCATGGTCCCAGGATTGAGCTCGCAAGGTGAAGTGCTACAATATCAGACAGTCAACTTTGGAGTCATTTTGCCCTCCTATCACCTTCTCCCAATCAATTTGATTGGCAAGAGAATCTCTGTACATGGTGTGGGGCTCTCCTTCTGGAAAGCAAATCTATCAAATGGTGTTGTCATGGTGGTTCCAAACTACTACGGTTTGGGACGAAAGTTTCTTGCAACGTTTTTCTGACACAACTAGACCTGAAATGTTGCCTCAAATTAAAATCCTACTATGAAACATAGGTGTAAAACTCTAATATACGAAGTTTTGAAAAAATGAGTGCAGACAATTGCTTTTTTCCAAAAAAAAATTTTTATTTGGGCAAAATTAGAGTATTGGATACAAGAATCAGGCATGGTATCAAAATCTAATCATAGATACCAAGGCTAATCGATCTATGTGACTTGTATTTATGTACTGCATATTGAGCTTGCCGGCTGCTGAGGCCTTTGCTGTAAGAAAATAATGAGTGCACATGCATTGGCATTATGAAAAGCATCTGATCTACACATGCATTGTTACAGGAATGGAGTCTCTCACGACCGTGTCGACTGAACGTCCACCATGGCAGGTCCTCCTTCTCCATATCTTCCCTTCTCTTTGTTACCTTCTCCCCGTTACCCCCCTTTCTACACGTTCACTCCGCACTAAGCTTTCCCTTATCGGGTTTTGGTGCTGGCCGGAATATTTATTCTATTTCGCGAGACTTCTCGCGATCATTTCTTATTCAATAGTTAGCGTCACATTTATGTACAGCAAGAGCCGAAAAGACAGAACCTAACGAATAACACACCACCCTCTGCTGTGCAACAACTGTAAACCTCCTTGTGCCAACACTGTATAGTCTGTGTAAGATTGTGTATGTCTCGGTCATCATCTATATGGGTCATCCCTGCTGAGGTTGACGACTCTAGCCACGGATCATCGAGTTCGCGCGTGACTCAACTCAGGTATGCGCGATCACCTTTTGCTGCGACTCATGTCGTTCGCCCAGGTACTGGGCCCGCATCTGTCTCACCTTACAGTGAGCATCTGGTTAACTCTACGGATGTATGGGTATTCGATACAAGCCCACTCCCTTCATCGCCGGTATGCTCTTGCAAGTGCCAAGTAGCCATCGAACCCACCACATGTCGTTTGACCTACGAACGACTAACTCCTCCATCACCGGTACGCTCTTACGAGCGCCAAGTATCCATTGACATGTATACAGACCGTCCGCCAGATGAACGGTCTCATACCTCGTTGCCGGTACGCCCAACTGGGCGCCAAGTATCCGTCAACCCAGCCTCTGGCAGCTCCCTCAAGGAGCTGGAACATCACTCGTTGCCGGTACACCCAATTGGGTGCCAAGTACCCATCAATCGATTCTCAGGAAGCTCCCTCAAGGAGTCGTTATCTCACTCGCTACCGGTACGCTCCCTCGAGCGCCAAGTACCTGCTAGCCCTATGTCCTCGACTAGTCTCGTTCAGGATGTTCTCTCAACCTGTGATCCTATACACCCACGCATGGTACGCTCACGTAACGAGCGCCAAGTATCCATCGTAGCAGGCTCCCATTCACCACGAGGTCTCAGCTTTCTGTCAAAAGCTCCACGGCCATCGGATAATTCTAATTGCACGACTAAACCGCCCTACATACATGAGGTGGACGATTCTAAGTCGTCCATAAGGATGGAAAGATGTGGGTTACCCTCAACCCATTTCTTTAACATGCATAAGCATCCATATAGCGCCAAGACTTCCAAAAAAAGCAACGGATGGTAATGAGGTCACAAGCATCCAAACAGTCTGGCACCAGCTTTTTTGCAGTCGCAAACTTACCATCAGCCACTGCACAATAACCTATAGACCAACTGGTAGTTAGCAGATGCAAATACACTAAATATTAATGATTAAGAGCATATGATATTTGGCATATCCCCAAAGGGATTGGGTTCACAATGGAATTTTGGTAGCATAAATGGCCGTGCCTCTCAACATACTGCTGAATTAATGGCTTCTCATTGTGGAAGTCTGACTGGAGAGAAAGCACACAGGTCATGCAACACCAGTCATTCCAAGGAGTGTTGGCATCAAGCGTGGACTGCAGTGTTTCTGAACTGCCCTCTTCATCCTCTTGCCCTGCAGCCTCAGCAGCTGCAACGTGTGCTTCCAGGAAGTGGAGGTGGGTTATCGAGAGGAATCATGGTGGGGTGCATGAGTGCTTGTTTTCCACCCGGTCCAACATTCATGTTATTGATGTTAAGGGCATCAGGCCCGAAGCCCTCATGATTCGTGGAGCAATCAAATATCCATACCCCAATGCAATCAGGAAATTTGAATTTGAGGATGTTGATTGCATCTTGTATCTGGTTGGGTCATGTAAGTTTCACTGAGGTTTTAACATATATGAACATACTTGTGCAAGGAGTTGTGCTCCATCCCACCATGCATCGTGTCCTTTTCCTGGGTAAGTTATAACTTGGGCATTTGATTTCACCCGATCATTTGGAGCATGTTTATTATTTACTGCTTCCTCTTCTTCAGACAGCACAAGACGCCCATGTTCAGATACAAAGTCAGAAACATGTATTGCATGTCCATTACCCTTCTTCCGAAGAGGCTGATCTCCATTTTTTATCCAAACCCACTGCCAATATTCATTAACATGAAAGATGCTTTCATCCTGATAGACAGGTATGTGCTCCTTTACCCCCAGTGGACAGTCAAATGGCTGCAGGTCCTGTCATATTCATGCATACCCGATCCTGACCCGACTCCCGGACCTCCTTCTTCACCACCTCTGGAGTCCTACCCTACTGCTGTCTGTTCTGACATTCACCTTTGGTCCTGGCACCACACCTCCTCCCACCTCCCATGCTACCTCCACTCCTCCATCCCTCTCCTCCCCTATCTCCGTCCGCTCCAATACTAACCTCGGACCGAACACCACCCCTCTCGCCACCCTCCTACTACTACTCCTCCTACTCCTCTGCTCCTTCCTCACAACACCTCCACCCTTCCGTCATCCTCCTACGCTTCTCCCATCTGCTCCGATACTCACCTTCAGACCTGACAACTCTCCCTTCCGCCACTCCTTCCCTCTTCCCTCTCTCCTCTCTCCTCCCTCTGGTCCTCTCCCACCAACCCCCCACCAAGTTACGACCTTCTGCCGTTGTCCCGTACTTCATACTCAGACACTGCTCGTACCTTTGCTCCAAGCCTCCGTCATAGTCCCTACCTTGGACTTTGACTCCACCTCAGTCTTAGTCCATTGCATTGGTGACCTCATACTACGTAAACACCATTGCCAATATTCCTCGGACTTTCAACCCCACCTCTGTAACCTCCATAACCTCTGTAACCTCCAAGCTCCACGGATCACCTTCAGCACTTTCGCCACTTGTAATGTATTTCTCATGTTTTCCCCTCATCTCTATTTGGACTGCTGCTTCTTCCCATTCTGGCCAGTTAGTCATCATCCCCACTTCTCCTCATCCTCCTGTGTCAGGGCATACACCCTGACCTAGCCCATACCCGCATCCACACCTGCACCCGCAACCGCACCCGGCTGTTGCACTCCCCGCACGCGCCCTGTGCCGGATGCTCAGTGCGGCCAGATGGCCCGGACCTCGGGTCTCGGGTCTCGTGTGACTTCCGGATATCTCCGGAAGTTTTCGATGTATTGTGGCCACTGTGGGAAGATGAGAAGTTAACTTCCTTCTCATCTCTGACCCACAGTAGGCAAGTTGTATATACTTGCCTCTCTTCTATATATCATCTCTGACCCACAGTAGTTGTTGCCCTGGATAGGGCTGTTCATAGGTCAGGCTGTGGACCATAGGGGAGGGTCATGGGGACCCAGGAGTCGTCCCCTGACATCCTGCCCCTCTGGGCCTCGCCCTCCTTACCTCCTTTCGGACGTATCACAGGTTCTGCCTTATGACCTTCGGTACCACTCTGCCTCTGTCATCCCTTTGTTCCCATTCAGACACCTTCGTTCCAATTCAGATCTCCTTTGTTTCCTTGTGCTTTCGCCCCCTCCATTATATATATTGGTACTTGTACATACTTGTTGTAGGCTTAGTCTAAAATCGACCTGAAATGCCCCCTAGAGACTTCCTGCTTGCCTACTGTGAAATTAAGGACCAAATGGACAAACAGCAATGGCACAGCGCTCCACTTGAGTTGCTGAGGCCAAGGTCCCTCCTTGCTAAGTCTCCGGTTCCCCTCTGGAATCGTCTGCCCTCGCCCAGTTCTAACAGGTCCATATTTGGACCATCATAAGTTCGAATGTATCTTAAAGCATGGTAAGAACTGATTTGTAACATGCAACCACCACAAATGCACTCACTTCCCAATCCCTTCCTCTCTCGACATTGACTGGATGAATTTTTTGTGAGATTCAATTACATCTGGCTGCTCATGGCCATCAATGTAAGCACCCTTTCTGGACTCGACTGAACGGTAACCAAGTTTCCAAAGCCACCGTTGAGCTGCACATTCACTGATTATGTTTTCCTTCGGAGGTGAATCAGCTTGTAATTTGGGTAAAAGTTCTTCATTTATGTGCTTGGCAAGAAGGTGGGGGGTGATCTATTGATGGTGAGTTAACTTCAACCTGCTTGCTCTCCACTGTTTGTGTGTGATCTCACCTGTCCAATGTTCATCTGTGCCAGATACCGATGCACACCCATAACAACGGCCTCATTATCCAATAGGCTTCCTGCTCCAATCTTCTTCATTTTCGCAGGCTCTGGGAGCCTCTGATACTTGATGAGGTATGGGACCATTTCCTGGTAAATGCATCAAAGGCTTTTGGATTACACTGGGCTGCAACTTCAGCCAGTTCCCTCTCTTTCTGTCATTTCCGGCACTTAGATCACTCTGTGTTGCCAGTGTAAGCAGCACGGCCAATAGAAGTGCCCTGTTTGCAAGTTGAATGCTGGTGAATGATGCTGAAAATTGATGTAAAAAATGCTGACCTTGTTTTGGAGACTTCTGGGCTTCACCTGATCACCCTGGACTCTAAATGCGCCCCAGAACTGCTGTAAACCCTGCAAAGACCCCTCTTCATCCTGGGACTCATCCCATTCAGCAACATCAGCATCACTGGAGTACTGATATTCAAGGTCGGAATCAGCTGTGCCTGAATCGAGTCGAATACTGTACTGGCACGACCAACAACCGGGTCACGTGGAGGCGTGGGAAAAAATTTCGGAAAACCACCAACCGGCAACCCTGCATTATGCGTTACACCTGACCGGATTCACACGTGATACAGGTTGGTGTTTTGATTGTTTTTTAACGAGATCGGGTCTTACCTTAGCTGCGGTGTAGCAAGGTTGGCCTAATTTATTCGTCTTAGAAGGCATATTATACTGACACACATTTGGCAATGTGTTATGAAATTTACTGTAAATGACAAAAAATTTCAAGCACATGTTCATGATGGCTTTGGAGTTGGCCGAATTTTGCTATTCACATTTTTGAATGTATATACAATACAAAAAAGGAAAATTGAATTACATCAGCACAGCCACCACAAAGTCCGTGAATCTGCGTTACGCTGGACGGCTGACTGGCTGCCTCACGTTACGCATTACAATTTTACATTTGAACCAGACCGGCGTGCCAGCCTTACGCGTTACCGGTTGTTGGTCGTGCCAGTACAGTATGTTTCCAGAACTGTCTGGTGCCTTTTTGTCGCTGCTCACAAGCCTGAAGCTGGCAGACAGTTTTGGCAGGCATTGTGTTTGCTTTGTCAGGGATTATTACTTTGTGCACATGACAGAGCCCCCATGCCGGTTTCCATTGTCTATTTGTCTATCCAGCTGAAAAGGCTGCACTGTGCCCATATATTACTCTCTTGTTGATATTCAACCACTTCAGCAACTTTAACAGGGCCTATGATGGCCATTTGAAGGGTATTTCCTAATTAGGAAGGTAGGCAGACAATTGTCTGGAGTGAAAATTTTCAAAACTCAGTTTCACGCAAATCTGCTCTGATACAATCAGAGAGCATCTATAAACTATCCATTTGAGCTATTTAAAGTGGTATAATGCTCTGGTTTACAAGCGCTGAAAGGGAAGTTTGCCGGAAGCAAATTCAGTTGTCAAAAATTAGCATCCCAAACTATATCTGTCAGGGACGCATCCAGGGTCGAGGGGGTCTGGGTGTAACGCTCGGCACTGAGCCTGTCGCGAGGTGTAGAGCGGGCGTGCGTAGTGACGGGCCCAATCCGGGACGATGATCCCTGGCCACTCAGACTGAAGTGGGAATCGTGAGTTGTTATTAAAAAGGAAGCTATGCTACTTACCTGAAGTGGGAATCATGAGAAGAAGGTTACTTCTTTGGTTCCCACCCCAGGTACTTTTATGTACATGTGGCTTGGGTCACATGAGGTCTGCCATGTCACCCCGCATACAGCTGCAGTCATCTGGGTGTCCCCATGGGGGATCCTGAGGGTGTGTGCTGCACACACACGTGCTGGGTTGCACCATGAGGCCATCCAGGTCATCCAGGGCTGGGTGCGTTGTGCACGCGTTGCAGGCGGGTCGATAGTACATAGATAAGGGGAAATGTCGTCCATGTAGATAAAGATAGAAGAAAGGGCAAGAGAGCAAAAGAACAGAAGGACAAAGGAAGAACAAGAAGTGAGAAACAATAGTGAAGGGTGAGGGGTGGAGGTGGGCAGGGTACTGGGTGAAGGCAGGTGGAGCTGGGTCAGGCAGGTGTGCCCTGACACTATCCCCTCTTCCTCAATTACCTCCTATGTTCCTCACAATGTGTCTTGGGTGAATTTCAATACCCTGGCTATATCAAACTGAATGGCTGAGCATTTAGGTCTGATGAAGTCCCATGGGGTGGCGAAGCCACATTTCCATATGCACTTTCCATACAAACCCCCCAAACACCTTGCAAGCTCAGCTAATTCTACCATAATTGTCCTGATGTCATGAAACAGTGTCAACCCTGGGTTCAGCTCGTGCAGCATTCTCACAAACTGCAGAGCCTGCTGCTCCAGCTGGATGCTTGGTAGGCCCCAATGCACTGGCAGGAATGGTATCAAAGGTCAGCACTGTTGAATGTTGACTGAATTACTGTAGGGGCTTGACACTCTGCGAACCTGGACCATGTCTGGGACATTCATACCATATAACCATGTGGGACCTTCCAGCACCCTGCATCGGACTGTGCAAGAGTGGATTGCTCACATACAGGCAGGTATGCCTCTTCAATCCTGCATCAGCAAACTTGATAGGGAGCTCTGTGAGCAAATTGAGTCTTTTTGCTGTGCACCCTCTACACATTGAGTGAAGAAAATTAAGAATCTAAATGATTTTGTTCTCCTAAGGATGAGAAATGCAAAGATAATATGTATATACATTTTTGGAAATACATGTTAAATGGCCAGCATCATTACTTGAAAAGCTCTATGAGCTCTATGAGCTCACTGAGCTCATGGAGCTCATGTTAATGGATGGTCTTCACATCTCCATGAAATAGTTATTTTTGCACCAGTAGTGCAAAGATAATATGGATACATGTGTGTGTGAAATGGCCATTGTCATTGCTCTGAAAGCTCTATGGGCTCTATGGGCTCATAGAGCTCATATACCTTTTGTGTTTACTAAAATCAACACCTTATTTGTTTATTGCTATTTACAAAATTTGAGGAAAACTCTGAAATTCAACTGCACTTTATCTTTCATCTCATTTCTTGCTCAAAACTCAACCAACTTTGATGATTCTATGTGAATTGGAAAGCACCAAAGTGTGGCAATGTAACCATGCATGTTATGTAAGGTATAAATCAGTTTTAAAAAAGTGTTCCAAATGAAGTAAATTGAAAATATCACCCAATAAAGCAAACAAAAAGCTGATGTATTCTCCAGATATCATCCAAGCCTTTGACCCATGGTCAAAAAGTCATAGTTATTTGGCTCACCAAAGCATGGTGGGAGACTTTTTCATACATTGCTACATTGCCCCACTTTGGCACTTTCCAATGCACAGTGAATTATCAAAAAAGTGATTTTAATTTTCCTAATTTCCTGAAATATCTCTCCCTAACTTATCCCAAAATTTTTAATTTTTCCCCTAATTTCCCCTGATTTTTTGGACATTTTACTTTTTTAGAAAGTCCCCCATTTTCTGAAATTTCCTTCAGTTTCCCTGACTTTTTTTCAAGTTTTTAGAAACCCCCCAGTTCCCCCTCATTTTCCTCCCATTTTCCCCTTCATCCTCCCCTCAATTTCCCCCCCCCCAATTCCCTCCACAATTCCCCCCCCCCATCCCCCCCTTCAATTTTCCCCTCATTCCCCCTCCCAATTCCCCTCATTTCCCCACTCATTTTCCCACATTTTCCCAAAGTAATTTCAGATTAACTGCATTTATATCCCTAAATTTGATCTACATATTGATTGGGCTATATACCCTTGGTGTGCAGTGCTGCATTGGTGCTGAAAGTTAAGCTGAGTTTGTTCAGTTCCTTGTATGGTAGGGACTTGGCTATGGCTAGTCACATGATGCCATAGTCAATGCTTTTAAATTTTAATTTTAATATAAAACACTCAGGGAGCTCATATAGATAATAGTCCCCTGTGTGCAAATATAAGCATTCAAGTTTGCTGATGTGCTGGTGCAATTCATTGCTCATGACTAATAGGGATCTGGGCAGCAAAACCTCCCAAGGACTTTGTCATCCACTCATGGATACTGTGTTACGCAAACACTCTGAGAAGCTTCAGTTTCCTTGGAAATCCCATCAGGGAACCTGTTTACCCCTTCACCCCTTATCACCTACTTTACTTATAGAAAATTACACAATGCTCCCCAATACCCAACAACTTCACCCATTCCCTCCCTCTACTCATCATCAATCTCTCTCACATTCTCACAAATGCACTGTATCATCCATTCTATTTGTTGCACTTCCCTCAACCCCTCTTCCTGATTCCTCAGTCATTGAGGACTGTCATGGGGGAAAGCATCTTTGAACTCAGTATATTCACCATGTTGAGACGTTTGTGCAGTCTCAATTTGAACTCTTCTTGTGGTGGGATGTGATCCAGAGCCATTTTCTCTTAGTCAAACAATGTGTGCCGATGCCTTGAACTTGAGATGGGTTAACTGAAGCTTCTTTTGGATGGAAGGACAAGCTAAGATGTCAGGGGAGAAATCTTGAGGATCTGATCGACAATGTGGATCAAGTATTTATGTTCGCTTACAAATTGGGTGGTGTTGGTCAATGGTACTGTCATTGTCACATTGAGCAACTTCTTCGTGGTCATGATGGTAATTATTTTTTGGGTGTGGATGATGAGCTGGTGGGTGCTGTGTTTGAGCTCCCTTTCCCAGATGACTGCCCATCGCTGGGTTCAACAATGGCAAGGCTATCCCATCACAGTGTTCCTGTCTTTGGGGTTCAAGTCATTGGGAGTGGGGCCAGTCTTCAGCAAGATTTTGTGCCAGGTGGCTGGTCAGATTCGGATGTTAACAGTCATAAGATGGCAGTTCAGTCTACATCACTTCCATCTAAGTGGTCAAGGGACATTGTTTTTAAGCAGCTTGAGTTCATACCTGTTCGCCCAACACCCTGGATCATCAAGCCAGCCCATGGCTATCTGTCAGGGCACACCTGCCCGACCTGCCTCCAACTGGGCCCACCTCACCCAGTACCCCTTCTCTCACCCTGCACCCTTCCCTCACATCCCTCCCCCCTCTATCCCTCCACCACTTCTATTTCTATTCCTATTTCTATTTCTATTTCACATGGACAACCTTTCCTTTATATCCATGTATTATTGACCCACCTGTGACACGCACACGACATGCCTAGCCCCGGATGACCCCGAACAGCTCTAGGGTGCAACCTAGTGCATGCACATGCAGCATATGCCCTCAGGATCCCCCATGGGGACACCCGGGTGACTGCAGCTGTATGCAGGGTGACGTGGCGGACTTCATGTGACCCAAGCCACATGTATATAAACACACCTGGGGTGGGAACTGAAGAAGTAACCTTCTTCTCAACATTCCCACTTCAGTCTAAGTGGCCAGGGATCGCTGTCCCGCATCGGGCCTGCCAGTATGCATGCCCAATCTACCCCCCATGAGGCCCTTAGCACCGGACGCTACGCCCGGACTGCCTCGACCCCAGACATGTCCCTGACACTATCCAGGTTTGCCTGACCTCTCAACTCCAGTGGAATTGGCCCTTGCAGACATGCTCTATCCTCAACACAACCCACTCTATACAGAGGAACTGTGTTGGAAAATCAAGTCTTTTTTTGGCCATGGCCTCTTTCCTGTTGTGCCTCCAGCCTGTCTTTCACCCCATCTTTCACCCTGACCATCATCTTCAGTACT